CAGCATAATTTACCAACAAGAATGTTACAGTTAATGTGAAATTGATCTTTTCATTTCACATGCACTTTTAGCTACATTATTTCATGGTTTTACCACAGCATTGCCCAGGGAATTATCTTCTACTTATTGTAGGATCATTGCAAAAAAGAAAAAAGGTAATTGATGCCAAATGCTTTGAAATAATACATACACATGTACATATTTATAGATAAGATTACTATTATTATTCTGTTTTTTTTCCTAATATATTTAATGTGTGTTTCTGAAGATGATATAACACAATAAATGAGAATAATAGATTATAAAATAACCAAAATAGGTTTCATCTGAATTACTGTACTTTCTTTTTTTTTTTTTTTTTTCCTTTTTTGTCTTTTTTCTTGTCCGGCAACGGATCGCAACCCTCAGTGTCGCGCCCGTACCGGACCGGGACCGGCAACGGGATCGCAAACCTCGGTGCTGCACCCGCACCTCACTCAGCCAGTGAGCGGGAACCGGTCTGTATGTGGGATCCGAACCCTCTGCGGGAGCGCCGCCGCACTCCCAAGCGGTGCACTGTAGCAGTGCGCCACCGGGCCGGCCCATGAATTACTGTACTTTCTGAAAGGATTTTTATTCTTAGATTCCCTGATTTATAAAAATGTTGGTTTGTGTTTGCAGGTGCCCTTCCTTAAGACTAAATTTTTTTTTTTAGCAGCTGGTTAGTACTGAAATTGTTATTTGCTATTCAGATTTCTGGTATGAGGGTTTGCCTTTAATGGAAAATACCTATTTTATTGTAAGTATGAAACCCAGTGACTCTGGCTTGAGTATTCTCCCCAGATGCTTCTACTGTATACTGACCACAGAATAAAGATGTAGATGGAAGCAAATTTATTTTAGATATTAGAGGCATAGCTAAGTGTGCAAGCAAGCTGTGAAAAATGCAACCTCCACTTCCCTTTGAACCCATAGTAATTTATCTCAAAACCATTGTTGAGTTCCCTGAACTATAAGGTAAGTAACTTGCTCCAAACAGCTTTAAATCTTCTGCAGGGAACAAGCTATTGCAATGCCTTGTGCTCTGAGCACCATGCTCCATGGCTTGGAACCATGAACATTACCTAGAGTGCTTCAGGGAGGTGATCTGAAGTACAAAGTACCTTGGCAAAATTCTCCAGGGGGAAAAGTACTTTGTAGATGAGGGAGGAAATTAAAAGTTGGCTGAAATGCTTCATTTAAGAAAAAACTAGTGCTGGAAGTGCCCAATCAGAGAGGGAAAGCATTTATTCACTCATCAAAACAATATTTTGACTATTTTCTTTATTCATTTATTCTCTGTGTATTTACTGAGCATTTACCCATGGCAGGCACTATTGCAGGCACTGAGGATATGGTGGCAAACACAGCGAAGTCTCTCTGCTCACGGAGCTGACCCTCCCTCTTTATGTCAGGCACTGTACTGGCGATACACAGATGAGTGAGATCCAGCCCTGCTCTGTAAAGTATTCTGAGTAAAGAGGAAGAAAGGAAAATGGCAATAAAATGTGATGTGGTTGGGGCTGTGGGGATGCTGTAACCTCTGAAGGTCAGGGAGGATTTCCTGGGGAAAACAACTTCTAGGCTGAGTCCTGAAGGGCAAAGAGGAGTTTGCCAGTGGTCATTCTAGGCAGGGAGGGCAGACACAGTGGGGAGAAGAAGCTGCTAGTGTCTCAGTGAGGCTGCACAGCTGGGTGGTGAATCTGGAGAGACAGATGGGGGCCTGATGATGATTCTTGCAAACCATGTTACATAGTTGTATACTTTATCCTAGCACAATTGGGAGCTAATAATGCATGTTAATCAAGGAGTGACATGAGCATATCTCAATTGCAATACAGACAGTGGATTGGCAGCTAGGACATAGGAGGGAGAATGTTGTAGGACTAATCAGATGCATGGTCATGTGGTCTAAAAAAAACTGATAATGGGGATGTAAAGAATCGGGCAGAATTGAGAAATGTTATGGAAGTGATTGCCTGGTAGTGGCTGTTGAGGGAGAGGGTAGAATAAAAGTTGACTCCCAGATGTGTAGCATGGAAGATGATGTCACTCACTAAGAGATGGAGTTGGAGGAACAAATTCAAGATGAGGAACTGATTATTTCAGTTTTGAACATATTGAGTTTGTGGTCTCTGTAGGACATCTAGCTGGAGATGTTCAGTAGGCAGTGGAATGTGTAGCCTGAAGATCAGAAGCAAACTATGGACTGAAGTTATTCACATGTAGATGGCTAAATCCTGGGGCAGGATCCTAGAAAAGACAGGCATTGAAGTGGTAAGCATAGAAAGAGAGGACCGAGCAAGAAAGGACGAAGGGCTAGGAGAAAAATCAGGGTGTATGGAGTCACAGAAAAGAATTGGAGAATGGGAGAAAGAGGTCTAAGGAGGATGAAGAGATCAATATCAAATACTGACAGAGGTCCCCCACAATAAATACTGAAATTTGTCTATTGGATGGAGCAACACAAGTGTCATTCACTAGTAGGATGACCAGCTCTCTGGGTTTGCATGGAATTGTCCCCATTTATGTCTGTGGCTCCAGCATTATTATTATCAGTGCCCTTTAGTGCCTAAGTTTGGATAATAAAATATATCATTGTCCCCGCCATTGGTTGGTAAGAGCAGTTTCAGCAGCATATCAAAGATAGATTCTAGTGGGCGTGGGGATGAATTGGAGGAGGATGAAGTTGGATAAGGCAGCTTCTGAAGTGGTGTGGTGAGGCTATTGGAGAAGGAATTTTAACTTCTGGGGGCATTGAACTAGATGGAATTGAAGATTCTTCTAATCCTGGGAACAGTTCATCACACTATTTTCCTTTACTATTATGGGTCTTTAAAATCAGTGAGAAGCAAGACTCTGTTCTGTTTCTTGTTTCACACATTACAAAGCCAAATGCTATTTTCTTACAAATTATTCTACAAAGCCAATATTTAAAAAAGAAAATTATTCTTATTATTTTATTATCTTGAAAATGAATACTAGTTACTTGACATCCTTCATCTCCCCCATATCTGAAAGGCAATGTAAAGCAGAAATGTGTGCATTGATTGCCTCCCTTAAGAAATTACTGTTAGTCCTAAACTAAGCAGGAGAATCATTTTGTCTTTTATATTATTTTGTAGGATAAAGCATTACCAAAAATGATTAGATTGGTAGTAAATATTCTGCCTCTTATTGTAGATACTGTTGACCTAGGAAAGCTAGGAAAAAGTACATGCTTCCAAGTTTGTGTACACCAAGTATGTCTTCTGTTTTTTTGGAACTTTCAGGTAAGACCAAAGAAATGTCTGTGATAGTATAAGCATTTATATTTAAAATGAGAGAGACACAAATAATATGGGTGTTTTTCTGCACACCATTTAGGTGGAGTAATCATGAATGATACATTTGAGGGGATTAAAACAATCATTATTATAAGTGAAACAATACTTTGGGACAATAGAAAAGTTATATAAAATGGAATGATTTTAAGCCCACGTGGATACTGGGTTAGGTGGAAGAGCCAACCTAGAGTTGAGTCCCTTTGCCTTCCTTGCAGAGGGTGGCAAGCACAAATAATACAGCCTTTTGCAAATGTCCACACATGAGCCTCCTTTCTCATTGCCATTGAATTTGATTTTTGAAGGTCAAGCTTGGAGCTGTAAGCCTGTCCCTCCCCCCCCCCCCCCAGTAATTAAGTACCTATGGGGTTAGGATAGGGTGACCTTTAACAGTCCTTTTTATTTTTGAGGTAAATGGCTGTCTTCAAAAAAAAAAAAAAAAAAGGGGGGGTTGTTAAATCTTCCTCTCCCCCCCCCCGTTTTTTTTTTTTTTTTTTTTTTTTTTTTTTTTTGTTTTTGTTTTTTTTTTTG